TTCACGGAAATTTCTTCGATGGAAATGAAATTTGATGGAATTCAATCTTTAAACTTTAAAAATATCTAAATTCTAGAAGAGGAATAGATTTTAAACTATTTAGATGGAAGTAATTTAGTTGACGAAAGTGTTGCAGTATCTAATTTATTCAGTAGAATAATTTTAACTTTCATTTCTCATCCAGTGCTTGAACAGTTGCGCAGTTATTGCAATCCCTGAAGAGGGAAATTATGTAATGATGATTTCCAGTTATTCATTTCTGTGAATTCTTTTTGCAACAGGCTAAAAGGAAATGTTTGATGGAATAAAATTAAATTATGAACGCTATGATGATTTTAGAGGTTGACCCATGCTCCCATAATTTTCCATCACATTAATTTCAATGATTCACAAAAAATATTGGCGGAAAAATATGCATAAATTTTGCATTGGAAATGATTTGAAAAGTTTTTATGAGAACTCTGATCATTTTAGTGCAATTTTTATCAATTTCAATGAATTTTATTGGAAATTTAATCATTGATTTTAACTTCGATCGTCAAAAGCTCAATAAATTTTGCCTTTGTAAGCAAGCAATCGGTCCCTTTTTCATTGTTCAAATTCAACAATTATTCATTATTAGTGTATAACTTCTTTACAGAATCAGAAATTGCTTAATTGCTGTAAAAATTATCAAATATTTCAAGTTGAAAACATATGCTAATATCTTTTTATTAGCAATTCTATAATAACCAATCCTTTCATATCTTTCAATCATTCTTGCACCTTGGGATTTGAGAATTTTCCAAGAATCTAAAATATCTATATCATCTACAGTAATCTTTATTATTATATCTAAATTTATTTCGAAAAACATTGCTTGAGAAAAGTTTTAAAATGAAAGCAATTTAATCGATAAGTTATGACGAATATTAATATGTTTATAGAAATGAATAAATTTTGTCAATAATTATTTAAACAAAATCGAAATAGTTTTTCTTTTTTATGAAAATTCATGTACAAAGAAAACAATATTACTAGAAGATATCAGGTGATAAAGGTTATATGACCATTTAGGCTACTTTAATCTTCCCTTAAATCTATCTTTAAGTAATAGAAACCTGGATATTAAACTTAGAATATTATCATTTCAAACTCAAAATATTATCATTTTATCATTTGTTCTGAAAGTTCTATCCCCCCGCTCTTAATATGAGTTATGTTGAGAATAAGAAAACTTAACAAGCAAAAGAGCAATTAATTATAAAAGGATTGATAATAGTTTGATAAGAATTATGAGCAGTAATAGGAGGAGATGATTCATCAGTCATATTATAACTTGTTGGTAACAACAAATTATAATGGTACTATTGCTTTTGATAAGCAAGAACCTGTTCTATGTTGTGTAGATTTATTATCTTACAGGTATTGTGTTCAATCAACAATGATAAGCTTTTGCTTAAATCCCATAGCTATGCTATCATTGTTTTACTGCTTCACCACTTATTGTTCTTATCAAATTATCAAGCATATCACTCGTTATCACTCAGTTTAAGAAATGCAAAAAAAAAAAGGAAGCAACTTTTATCTTTGCTTCAATAATTTAAAATTAAATATAAGTGTTAGATAAAAGTGTAATTTATTAGATATCAAGATCTAAATCTATATCATTAAAGTGAAGCTAACATCATCATATTTCTTCCACTTCTATTGAATTAATTATCATTATCAATTCCAAATGGCTTTGATTATTTACTTCATTCTGATAAATGCATCAGGTATTAATGTGTAAACAATCATTTCTGATAATGAACATGTTTAGTTTATGAGAATCAAATTTTGTCAAGAAAAATTAAAAACATTGTTGTGTACTCTTTGCCTACTTTAAAATTCTTCCTCATTGTTACGACAACAGGAAAATATGTTAACGAATGTTTTTTGTCATAGTGTAAAGAAGAAGTTAAAAGGATGTTCTACCGGATCGATTCAACTTTCCACCATAAATTACAAGTTTAATTATTTTTGAAATATTTTAATTTACTTTTTTCTCCTATTCTGATATTTCAAATTTTGATTGAAATCATAATTTTCATACATTTTGCTTTTGGAAAAAAAAAATGTTTCAACTTTTGTATTATCACTTTTCAATAGCTTGAGAATAAAACAGTTTTTTAAAATCATTTCTCATAGATGAAAAGAAATGGAAATATGATAAATATCTTTTTAGGCAAGACTAAAAATCAAAAGTTAAAGAAAGAGAGGAAAAATTGTCATCATTTAATTCTTTATATATCAGGTTTTTTTTTTCCTCCATATGGAATCAGCTTCTTATTATATGCACAATTTATGGGAGAGTGCAACCTTTGAAACTTTATGTGAATAGCAATGTCATTGTGTTTACTATTTCATAATCGTGATAGGTCAAAGGTTAAAATTTTGACAAGCAAATAGATCTCATCCATTCAATTCTAGTTTCGTTTTTTTCTGTATTTTTTAATATGTAATCGAAATATTGAAAAACTTTCTATCTTTTTCTTCCATCCTATATCTTTCATATGTGCTTATCAGTTATCGCAAGAAATTTAAAGTTTAAAAAGGCTAATTATTGTTTCATCCTTTGTTAAAATCTTCTTATCTAACTTCCTGATAAACTGATATGATTTTTGTTGGAAAATGCCATAGCTTCAGTGATATGGACTGCTGATCAACATAATAGTGATTATGATAGGAAGCACAACAAATTTCCACCTTTAGTCCTAAAATATTTAAGAGTTAAGAGCTTTTTCAGACCAGATTTTTTAAATTTCTATTTGTTTCTTTCAACTAATGACTGATTTACAATATGTCGAATTTTCGATATGTTGATTTTGAAATGTTTCATTGGTGACATATGAGATATTCTTAAATAATACCACAATAAAATTATAGTAATTGAACGACGTTTAGAGTCGTATCTGGTTAAAGTCATATCTCTTTAAATTAATATTTTTTTAAACGAATTAATTTTGATGAAATAAATCATGTTTGTTTCTATGTTTCATTATTTATTGTTATTACTATTATTTTTATCACTATTATTATTATTATTATTATTATTATTATTATTATTATTATTTTTATTTTTATTATTATTA